GGGAGGGAGAGGGGGAAATGAGGAGCTGATGCCAAGGGCTTAAGTGGAGAGCAAATGTTTTGAGAATGATGAGGGCAACAAATGTACAAATGTGCTTTACACAACTGACGTATGTATGGATTGTGATGAGTTGTATGAGCCCCCAATAAAATGATTTTTAAAAATAACAGTTTATCCTCACTATATAATTGCATTCAAACTCAAATTTCACAGCTTTCAAGTTGATGCCAACTCATCGTGACCCTACAGGACAAGGTCAAACTGCCCCTGTGGGTTTCCTTGACTATAAATCTTTCCTGAATGGTCAGCCTCATCTTTTTCTCCGGGAGCAGCTGGTGATTTCCAACTGCTGACCTGGTGGTAATCAGCCCAAATCATAACCCACTAAGTCACCAGGACTCGCTGTGGTTGCAAACACTGGTTGGAGATGAGTGGTGCAGTTTGCGCTCAACTGCCAACCTGGTTTGAACTCACCATGGGGCGCCACAAAGGAAGGATCTGGCGATCTGCTTATTCAAAGATGACAGCCAAGAAAGCTCCCTCCGGAGCAGTTCCACTTCAGAACATGTGGGATCCCCATGTGATCAAATCAACTCTAAAGCAGTAGGTTTGGGTTGTTTTTTTGTATCCTCACAACATTCTAAGGATAGAGGCAGGGAAGGAGTTGTTTTTCTTTTATAGATCGGAAAGAACCATTAAAGATCACAAAAGTGAAAAGTTTACAGTTCTGAAACCTGAGGTGGTACTCAGACCCCAAGGTAGGTCTCTGCCCACCCATTGAAGATGCTCTGCCCTTTGGCATGGCCTCACTTTGCTGGGACTGAAACTAGGTCTGCTGATTTTCAAAGGATTAAGAGGCACATGCGTCCTTCCCACACAGCCAAGAACATAGTGCTTGCTTCAACGTGTGGGGTTCAATTCTGTTTGAAGATGATCCTTTTTAATTCACTGCATTTTCTTTCAACTAATAGCTCATGTCAAATCAAAATAGCACTGGGTACTCTGAATCAGGAAGACAAGAAGGAAGCACCATTTCTTTCATATAACCCAAACCCCAAAACCAAACTCACTGTCATGAGGTCGACTCATCGTGACCCTATAGGACAGGGTAGAACTGCCCACCGTGAGTTTCCAAGAGTGTAACTATTTACGGGAGTAGAAAGCCCCGTCTGTCTCCGCTGGAGCTGCTGGTGACTTTGAACTGTCAACCTTGTGATGGCAGCCCAGCGAGTAACCACTATGCCACTGAAGCACAAATAGGTTAAAAATGCGCCCAGTACAACAAAGCTGAGCATCACAGCAAATAGAAGAACAGGCATTGGAACCTAGGTAGAGAATCCATTCTCTGAATAAACAAAATGGAGTGTGAGTTAAAAAGAAAACAACAACAAAAAGCCTTATAAATGATAATGCCCTTAATGGCTGCTTAGGAAAGTCTGCTCACAGCAGGCCATTCAG